CGGACGCGAGAGGTCGCCATCGCCGATCACTTCCCTGAGGGCACGGCGGTGCTCAGCCCACGCAGGGCATTCTCCCACTGTGTGTTCCACCGTGTCCTCTGGGCGGTCCTCGCAGTGATGACACCCGGACGTTTCCTCCCGCCCCATCAGACACAGGTACCTCCCGAAACTCCCATGTCCGGTGAGGACCTGCGTCAGGCGGTAGGTGAGGACGCCGTAGCGTCTCTCAAGCCACTCCTCAAAGAGGGGACTTACCGCTGCGATGGCAGCGAGCCCAGCCAACCATATTTAACTATGATAGTCGCTAATGGAGGACCGAAGTTAAGTTATTAATTACGCACTGAAATAAGTGTTTTTTAGATGATATATGTACAAAAGTATTTTATAGTGGGAGATTACTTTTGATCTCATTAGTGTCTGGCAGCTGCACATGTAGAATAGAAAACCAAATTATATGGAATTGACGTAAATTTTGACACCTGTCACTGTCATCCCCATACATTTAGTTTTCTACTCTCTCTGTAGACAAGCGCTAAAGTGGCGTTTGGCTACTGGCACTGGTGACATGGAAACATAAATATTTAATTTCGATCAAAATACCTTTTAATAAATCTTTACATAAAACTGCTCCTTGTACCTTCTGGGGATACCAAGCCAAACCTCAAATGGTTACAATATCTATAAAATTGGAATTGTCTGTTTGTAATATTAAAATAACCGCTTTATACTACATGCAGATGAATATACATACGATACATATACCTAAATAACATATTTTACAACTTCTGTCTGTCTGTTTGTACAGGCTAATCACTGAAATGGCTGAACCGATTTTGTGAGACTTTTATTGGCAGGTAGCTCATAAGCTACCTGGCATCAGTACCTACATCTATACTAAGGAGTAACATAGGCTACTTTTATTTAGGAAAATTGAAACATCTTCATCTTCTAAAATTCATATTCTACGCGGACGTAGTCGCGGGAAACAGCTAGTTTATTCTATAAAAAGAACTACATTATGGTAGATAAGTTTCATCATACCTAGTGAGACTCTAGCAGGCACAGCTCCCTGGTCCAGCCAGAAGGACACCCAGGACACGATGACCAACATGCAGCATGGGATGTAGATCTGGATCAGGTAGTAACTGAACTCCCGCTTGAACAGCAGGTCTACTTTCAGACAACTGTATTCACCTGGAAGGTTAAACGTAAAATTGGTTTCTGAAGAAGTTTATGTTTTGTGTTTAGAAGTGACGCTTTGTGTGTTTTTCTGGAAGACCTTCGTGCTACGTGAACTAAGTATTTTGAAATCGAAAAGAATTTTTTGCATGAAATCTTTTTAGTCAAGTGTTTGTTTTTTCAATATTTCCTTTTGCGTAAGCGTGGAGCAATTACTACAAGAGCATTACAACAATAGGGTAGACGACTAATTTTTATTTTAATGTCCGTCTGGTAGGTTATTTAAGAACATTAGACACGTATTTTTTATTTTCTTTCGGAAACGAATAGTTTCGAAGATATATTGATTTACATAAAGTCACATTTGAGTACCTACTCTAAAATGTTTGCGCCAAACTTTGATTAGTTTTATCTAAGTATTGTTTTCTTACACGACAAAATAAAAAAATACGTGTCTTATATTTTTTCAATACCTAACTGACGGACTAATTAGATTTTTAATTTTTATACCCTGTCATCATCCATATTGTTTAATAGAATCTTAATCAGAAAGCTAGCCTTTTGTATCAAAGACAATCGTTCCCTGAGACCATAGAGTTACTCTAAGTCAGTTATTAATTTACCAGTATTAGTTTTGCTGTTACAGTAGTCAGTAAGGAACTTTTCTAGAGTGAACCGAGGCAGATGTAGGTTCTTCACAACCTGGACTGGGTCGCCCTCCTTCCACAGGAACACTAAGTCGTCTGTCGTCCAGCCGTCTGGGGAGTTATAGAAAGGATTCAAAGATTAATGTTACAAATAGCATGAATCCAAATAATCTCTTCACCATTTTTCATCCCTTTGGATGGTCGTTAATTCTAGGAATAATAAGTTCTAATCTATGTATAATAGAAATGTAATACCGCAAAAACAGATTTGTAAAAACAGACGATAACTATAATTAATTAGATTCCAAATTTTCCATTTCTATATTTATTGATGCACAGAAATCTGCATGGTTTCAGATAACTTCTGGCAAAAAACTCACGCAGATTTAGCAATTACTGACTTTCTTGACTACTAAATGGTGCTCGCCAAAACATACTATCAAGTTGATAGGCAGCTTTACACCTACAGACGGAATGTTCATCTTTAATTAACAAAAATTACAATGACAATTTAAATAAACACCGTTTTTACTGATCCAAGGCTGAACTTGTTTACAAGGGGTGTTGAAAATCAGAGCTATTCAGGAAGACAGCACGCAATGTAAACAACGTAATGAAATGTAAACGGACCGCTCAAATATCTGCCCGCTAACTGCTGGGCGCAGCTGGTGTAAGTAATTTTTGTGAATGACATAGTTTAATTTTATCGTGTTATAAAGAATATTATTGTTGTATCATTACTTTCCGGCTCCGTAAAAGTTTAAAATTAAATTACATTTTAGTTCCTTTTAATTTGATTAAACTATACAAGATCATAATGAGTTATTGATTTGAAAAGGACATAACTATAACTTAATTTGGTTTTATAACCATAGTAATGTCCTTCTCCACTCATTAACATAGGAATCATAAAATAAGAGGCGAAAACTGGGTGATAAACAATTAAACATGTCATGTGTTATGCACCTCTGTACAGCTGTACAGTCTTGTAGAAAATACGTTATAATAATCTCCTAAACTATATCAGAAGAACATAACATAACATCACGCCTTTTATCCCCGAAGGGTTTGAAAGAGGTGCACATTACTGCACTTAATGCCACTGTACAATGTAACATCCACTTTTCACTATTTATGTTATAAGTCCCATGTAATAGGGGGTGAGCCTATTGCCATATACCTGGCACATTTTAAGACTCCGTGCTACGACTGAGCCTTTTTTTAATCGAAAGATCGAAATCATACAAATAATATTTGCATCTGATACATTCTGTTTTTGCGGTACGCGTTTAATTTATAGATCAAAGCTGCAGATTATAACTATAAACAAACTACTTACAGCTGGCCATTCTCAACGAGCAGGTCTGCTTATCCAGAGGATACAGCTTCAAGTTCATAGGACAGGACAGCGTGAGGGAGATTCGGATGCTGTACAGCACATTGCCATTAGGGAAGATCCTAATGTACACGTTGGGCATGATGATGTTGTGGAAATGGCCTTCCTTCTCGTTGGAGAAGAACAGATCCGGCATCCAGACTCTGTTGGCTTCTGTCAGGGTTAAGTACTTGAGGCGACCTGGTGGAATAGAGGGAATTATATCATATCGTTGGTTGAGAAGTAAATTCTAGTATGGTTGTTGATATTTAATGATTTTATGGATAAAATTAAAGAGAGAAAATTATGGATAAAATTAAATTTGAATTAAAGAGAGAGTTTTTAAAACTAGTTTTAATCAAAGTTTTATTATGAGCCCAGAGACTCAAATTGGTTAACTTGGAATTTATTTTAGTGAACAATCAAGTACACATACCTCCCAAATTATTGAATTTGAGGCGCTCATCTAACCACTGTTCTCGGAACGTTAACTGTACCGAGTATTCCTGAAAACATAACATTATTTGTAGCAATTGTAAATATCCCAACAAAAACATTGATATATTGTCAAAGAAGATAAACACACTGTTACTTTTCATTAGTCTGGTAACTTTGAATAAACTCCAAGAACCCTGATTAATATAAATAACGATATTCATCGTTACAATACGTTTTAGTAAAATATCAACATCACGATTTTCGTGACAACGGTTTTAACGAAAAATCTTTTGTCGTTAATGTGATAAATTAATTATTTTGACAATATTTCAATGCAGACCCCATTTATTACTCTAGGTATACTAAAGACATGTTCTCCACTTTGCTTTCGTAGCATCTGTGCATCTAAAAGCTTCGTCTTTTTTAGATCCATTTTATTCTTCTAGTCTTTTAGTTAACGCACAAAGCTATTCACTAATGACTTTATTTTACCAGTAAGCTTTTAATATGTCTTTATTTGTGCCAATATCATCCTTTTTAGTAACTTTTTTATACAATAATGTACAAAGAGGTGCCCAAAGTACTAAGTGCAAGTTCCCAACGAGGTGGTACCGGCACAAAATGATTTATTTACATGTAATATTACAACTAAGGGAGGGGAAGGTGTCGAAGGTTCGCTCAATAATTAATTTGACATCAAGGCACAATGCACTAGAGGATCCCTCGACATCTCAGCAAGTCAAATGAATTATCGTACAACAAAAGCCGGCAGATGCTCCAACAAGAAGATCAGACATGCACACTCGAACATTTACTTTTGGACACGAGCCTCACTAACGAACGCGGTAATGATGGAAGAGATGTTCATGGATTTCATAAAGTTGGTGAACTTAGATATACTTTGTATGAACATGGGGGCAACATGAGTACTTGTCGTGAAGGAAATGAAGGTCTCCCGCTACTGTCAGCTCCACTGGCTCAATAAATCATCGCTATCCAAAAGTGAAGATTCGAGCGCCATAGTTCGAAGCAACATGCACAGAAGCGAAGCCCAGTTCGAACTTACCGTCTCCAGCATTCGTTGAAGGAATGCTTTTATTACCTTCATGCACAATCGGCCAGTATAACTAGAGCTACGGTACGTCTAGCTGTTGTTTGGGGTCGGGTGTCACATATTGGTGGGCAGCCACCGTTCCAAGCACGAAGGCGAGTGCGGGCGCGGCGGTAAGTCCCGATTACACAACACAAATTCACATGAACAAGACATATCAACAATTCATTACAATCAACGTACACGACCAAAATAGTTTTTATAATTTCCTCATCTGCGTGAACTCAATATAAGAAGCATGATCAAATAAACATAAGAAAAATAAATAAAATGATGGTGTCTGGTGCGGGCCGCGGTCCCCGTGGTACCTACAAGCGTGGCCGAATTACTTCACTTTACAATTAAGTGATTCCTCTTTATTTCTAAGGCAATAGAGTCCAAATTGATTTTGAACGTATCAGTGCTGTGATACCGAAGCGGTAATTTGCTGATCAACAGTTGAGTGCTAACTACTTTAGTGCCAATAGTCCATCCTGCACGTGTTTATACAGCTCGAGACGCGCCTGCAGGAGTGTAGCTAGTCAACACAAATATATAATATATATAAATAATAAGGAAGAGAAAGAAAAGAAACAGAAAAGATCTCATTTCACGAAGAAAATTAAAAGCTATAATTTTGATCAAGATTTATAAAATTAATCAATTATTTATAATTTAGTTGTCAGACTACATTAAGTCTGAGTTTATAATAAAATAAAAACAAAAATAAAATAATAAGTGCGCGGCACCGCACCACGGGATTTATTTAGCGAAATATTTAGTTAAACATTCAAATTTTACATTAAGGGTGGTTAAATGATACATTTAGGAAGAGGAGAGTAAAGGTGCACAACTTATATAAAACAAACTAAAAGTAAAGGGGAAAGAACAAAATTAACAAAATACACGAACACAATTATTTACGAATAGCTTGAGAATGTTTAGCGTAGTGCAGATATTGCATAATATTTATTATTTTTATTATAAACAAAGTTGCCAAGACTGATCTAATAGACGGGCGCGCTCCACTGCTGCCGCGGTTACTGTCGAACTATTTGGTTGCACCGACGGTAGAGCAATGGATCGCGATGTCCCACAAAGAAATCTAACTTTAGTTTATAATAAAAATGTCACGGATTACATCAGGTTATGTGAAGACACTCACCATTTTGTAATCATCTATTTTGCTGATGGACCGTAGATACATGTTGACATGGACTAACGTTGGCGCATAGCCTTAACGACAGAAAACAACAATTTAATTTTATTTTGTTTGTACCGCTTCATAGAAATAATGCCTAACCACTAGAGCAACGCGAGAGAAGTACGCAAGTTGATGATAATGTCAGATGCTTAAAGGATATAACGAAGTGGAGCGGGTGTCGCGACCACCTCGCCGACCCTGCGCGCTCCACTTCATTACAGAAAGCTTATGCCCCGGTATGAACTCATAAGGACAACCAGCCAGTCTAAAATTAAAATAAACAAAACTAAATACTATAAAGACTATTTTTTTATTCTATATAGTAAGTTGTAGATGATAAACAAAGCTAGGATATACCAGTACTGGCGTTCTAAGAAGTAACTGACGCGCGGCTAAAAACGATTTTGGTCGTCAACACCAAACGGGATTAAAGAGAAATCGAAAGGAAAAAATAAAGAATAAGAAAAAAATGAACATTACACATAGTGTTCGGGTAAATCACTCCTACTCAACAGGAGAGAGTTGCCCATTCATTTGACTTGTTAGAACCGCGTGAGTACAGAAAACTTATACTTTTGTAATAACTAGTTGCGGCCCAGTCTGTCCTCATTGACTTACCATTGTGACGTCATCGATCTTTGATATACTTCGGACAAATATATTGACGCTCACTACCGCTGGCCCATCTAAGTACCAAGCAAAATATACGATAAATCACGGTATTATTATGATACTACGGCCTAACATTAGTTTGTGAATGCGCGTATTAGATCAGTAGGACTACCGACTCACCTGTCACCTGTAAACATTAATGTGGGTACACTATGCTCATGGATGATCCGACATAATGATCACACAAACAACATAAATGTAATTGTGATCAAACAAACCTCTAACATCAAATGAAACGACATCGGTTCAAAATAAAACGCTGCAAACAATCTCAAATGTCGGCTTGTCAACGAGAATTTGTGTTAGTGTAATATAGAGCAATATCTTTCAGATAGGAAACCAAACAAAATCATAAATCAGACACAAAATATAAAAGAAAAATAAAAAGTGAAGATACTATTAAATTCTCGTGGTTTTAAAAGGCTGGGTTTTATAAACAGTACCTAATACTTATCAAAATCTAACATAACAATTTATCTGACATAAATTTGAAATTTGAAAAAAGAAACGGAATTAACCGTTAATTAAAATGGCGGATTTTTCAATTATATACGAGTTAAAACGCGCCTACATTTTCGTATTAAAATATAATTATTTTCGTTAACTTAGTACCTACCTACATATTCCGTGATGTCGATACAAAAACGCCATATCACGATTGAGGGTTGAGATAACACCGTCTTGGGGTGAAAGGTGGCGTGTAACGGAAATTAACATTTTGTTTTAGAAAGCTACGTGTTCCTCGTTAAATAGCATTTGTTTAGTTCCACGTTAATCCGGATTAAGCTAGCTGTCAGATTGAATTTACCATTTCATTTATTCACGAGTTTAGAAGCGACATCTATTTTAAATATATTTACATAGAAAAACGAATTAATAGATTAATTTAGGTTTGTTTTTCTTATTACGACTTATTGACAACTCAGCACACTAGCAGGGCTTTTAAATAATATCCATTAAGTATTATAAAAATAGTTTAAGGGCCTCAGAAACTACTGTTGAGTGTATCAACCTCTAAGAAATTCCTATACATGTACAATTAAATTAAAATAAAAGCATCCATTTTGTCCCACTATTTAAACCATTTAAGTAAAGATGATAATAGCCTGGAAAGCATTGGAATGGTTTTAACGGAGTAAACAATAAAACGTGCCCCTAATAGCTTTATAACGATGCTATCGGTTCAACTGTTATTTACCTATCGACAGTCGTTTTTAAATTCAACAATAATATCTATAATTATACTTCAATTATTCCGTGTCAAAAGATTATTTTGAATCGACAAATGAACTGCAATTTAGGATAATGGGGCTGCAATTTCAAATATCGGTATATATAAAACAAATCATTGTAAAATGCATAATTACAATCGCGTGATATCGATAGAATATCGTATCCATTATTATAGTTAATGATACTGCAATGTTCCATCGGCTAATTTAATATATTCTAGCATCACGGAAAGTGTAAAAAGTATTTCCTAACAACGATATTTTTTCCTAAAAATATTCCTTCCCTAGAAGTTACTACGGATAAGTTTGGATCATTAAAATCAGCCGTTCCGTTTGTTTACAGCGTCTTAATTTAAAAATAGAATCAAGTTTAGGTATGTCAATCATATGTCACATTTTGAAGGCGGTACATTTTTTTTATAAAAATATAGATAACAATAAAATCCTGAGGTCAACCTTTTTTTTTAAATAACCTGTAAACACACGCTATAAAACACCGTATCAAGTTTAAACAAAACTCAAGAATTAAATTAAATAAAAAACGAAATTAAAACACATTAGAAATAACGGAAGAAAATATTAATAATAACGAGGAATTTAATTGGAATCACCAAGAAAATCACCAGCAAAATAAAAAGACAGCAGATGATGTCATCATACTATGAGATATTTAATTATTTTAATAGAAAAACATAATAAAGGAACTGCTCTGTCGTTTACCGTAACACGCCCGCTCCCGTACGAAAACAGTTAAATAGGCTGTAACATTTGTTTCTCATGTTTTCATACGTTCATATTCAATATTAATTTGTCCAAGATCGTAATTATGAGCAAAATGTACGTGCTATACGAACAAACAAAATATTACCAATAATTAGGAACACAAAAATAAAATTTAAAATTTTGAATAAAATACCAACTCTATGTAAATGTAAATACGTGCCAATCTGCCTAAATAAGGTCTTTAAACTAGGTAAAACAAACGTTGCCGCCTGACTAAATTTTCCTATATATTTCAAAAAGTGCAAGGATACGAGCTTGGAAAATTAAACGCAATTTTTTCCATGGAGAAATCTCTGAAATATTTTTTTTTACACAAACAAACGGTACAACCTCTTTACGGTGTGCCCCCTCACACAAGATGACAATCGAGGATCGTCAAGAAATAGAAATGTCAGATTTAAAATATACCGATTGTCATTCTTGGATCATTTTACCGTCCGACAGGTGTTCGACCTTACGCCTCAAAGATTCCGATTTCTTGATCGATGATTGAAGTCTTGTCTAAAGGCTATATTCTCATTTACTAACGACACTAACATAAAAATTAAAATTGTTCTCTCTCTCATTACTAACCATCTTAATGTCGCTTATAGTCGTAATACTTCTCACGAACAGGTTAATATTAACTACAGCTGGGCCATCTGTTAAAACGTTCCAGTCAAATCAATAAAAAAAGTTCAGTATCCTACCAACCAGTCCATTGATTAAACAATTAAAATTGTATCAATCTGATTGCGGGGTTAGGCAACCTTTCAATAAAAAAAACAATATCGGATTCTTAGAATAACAATAATGAAAAGAAAAATTGGTATTAATAAAGCCAATATCGTAGGTATTCTTTTCAAAAGTAGACCTTACAGTAAAACATAGATCAAAATAAATATAATAAGAAATAGACTGCCATTAAAAATAAATAAATTTAATTTCCTACAAATATTATGATTGATCAATGTATTATATGACAATAATAATAATATTATTATTCAGAAAACCGATAGTATCTGAACATGTCTAGGTCAAACCGATTTGAGTTTAATCTAATGTGTTGGGAAACGGTTAACGCTCGCGTGTAAGTTAACACATCAATAATTCAACGTTTGTTCACGAAAATAGGTAGCCAAAGGGAAATTAATAGTTTATTATTAACATTGTTACTCGCTACTAAAAGATAATAATAGTAAAAAACCTATAAGGCTTAATAATAGGGTAGAAATCAATGAATTTATCGAAAACAACTACTAGAATTTTCTAGCCTAATTATAGGCACGAGTCTGAGAGAAAACAAAATAAATATAATGCTTTGTTCAATTATTAATGAATGCTATACAGTTTAAATGTAAAATATAGCTTTAATGAACAATAAACTATTTGAAATATAAGTGTAATAAAAGGTAAACTATTTATAAAGCCATTTCAAAGGTGAAAGAAGTGAGTTGCTTGTACCTAAATGGTTCAATAAGGTATTCAGTGTACTTGACAGCCGAGCGCACTGCAAATAGAATGTTTATAAACAGGGCTGGCGACTAACTAGACTCTGTTATTAGTTTCCTAAAAATACATTTTACCATTAGATAAATATATGACAAAGAACTTAGTAGAAAAACCGTTAAAAATGAGATAAAATAG